ATTTTGTGCTGGTTTAGTTGAACTAAACCGTCTTTTTTTTCTGTTTAAACATATAACCTAGTATAAATATGTTGAAAGAATACATTATATTTTTGAAAACCTTTTCTTAATTATAGATCATAAATTTAAAATAAAGCATTTATCGCTTAATACTCAGGTACCAAAAACTTTGTCAAATCTATCCGAATTCTCAATAACATAACAAGGGCCATATTTGAGAAACTCATTTCTCCCAAGTAATAATGGAACTACAATTTCAGTTCAAACTTTTAAAAGTATCTTAAATACTTGGTTGACGTATCTTAAATTCTATTTTACTTTTAAAATATTCTATTTATATTTAATACTATTATTATTTATATTTAATACTATTTTACTGAGATTTTTATATATTTTTTATATGATAGCTTTTTATTTGTTAAATATGTAAATGATATAATGTCGCTAGATGATGATTTTTGTCTTCATCATGGTACCGTCACATCTTAACTAAAATTTTTTTGTTTTTTCTTTTTTTCTTGCCTGCTGGAAAACCGTATCTATAGTTCCAATTTTTAAAAACATTGGTGATTTTCTAACTCTTCAAACTATCATCCAATCAGTCTTCTCTCTTTTATCAGCAAGCTCTTTGAATTTTTGATTAAGAAATTTCTAAAATCCTATCTTGAGCTAAATAACTTACTGTCTAACAACTGAAGTAGTTTTCAATCCTTTTGCTCAACGGCTGATTGGGTAACTGCTGTGACTAAAAAAATTTATCGTGCATTATATAGAGGCGGCGAGGCTTGGACTATTGCTCTTAACATATCAAAAACTTTCAACAATGTTTGACATGGGGGTATTTTCTATAAACTTGCTTCTTAGGGTGTATCTGAGAAACGTTTTGAGATTATGAAATCATTCTAGCAGCTTTAATAAAGTCATCTTTAAAGGCCAATACTTTTTTTCATTTCCAATAACTTCTGGGCATCTCAATATTTTATTCTTGGTTCTGTTTTATTTCTTAACTACATTAATGGTCTTCCTGACATGCTTACATCTAAAGTGATTCTATTTGCTGATGACAAATAGATTCACTTTAGATGTAAGCATGAGAGCATATATATATATATATATATATATATATATATATATATATATATATATATATATATATATATATATATATATATATATATATATATATATATATATGCTTGTAGGGTTAGAGCAACAATAGGGTTAGGGTTCAAATAAACTTTACGCAGGACCTTTTTTCTTATGTTGTAAACTTCTGCATGTCCGCATTTTTACCAGTTCCACAGTAATATATTATATAAGTTGCTTATTCAGTGATTTAATCGCATCAGTTATGCTATATTTAAAATTATCTGTTACCGTGGCAACTGCAAAAAAATCTTTTATTACATTAAAATGAGTTAAAAATTAGGGTTGTTCGCCGAAAAACAAAGCTTGCGAAAATTTCGCATATTCATCTACCGTAATAGAATTGTTGTTGCGGAAGTTGCACATGCAAAAATGCACATTCCGTAACGCGCTATACGAAAATATAAATAAATAAAATTCCGTAATAAAGCATTGCGAAAGAAAACTTGCGAAACAAATCATTTCGTAAGAATACTTACGAAATAGTTCCTTACGGAAAAAGCATTCCAGAATGTGAAAAAGATGCAAAAGATTTTATGTTACGATTTATTTAAAATATTAACTGTTAACAGTTTAAAAAATAAATAATAAAATTATAAAAAAATGTCAAATGATTCTTCAAATGTTTATACAAATATACCTAATATATATATATATATATATATATATATATATATATATATATATATATATATATATATATATATATATATATATATATATATATATATATATATATATATATATATATATATATATATATATATATATATATATATATTTATATATGCATATATATATATATATATATATATATATATATATATATATATATATATATATATATATGTGCAAAATATATATATATATATATATATATATATATATATAAATATATATGTGCAAAAATGCACATTCCGTAACGCGCTATACGAAAATATAAATAAATAAAATTCCGTAATAAAGCATTGCGAAAGAAAACTTGCGAAACAAATCATTTCGTAAGAATACTTACGAAATAGTTCCTTACGGAAAAAGCATTCCAGAATGTGAAAAAGATGCAAAAGATTTTATGTTACGATTTATTTAAAATATTAACTGTTAACAGTTTAAAAAATAAATAATAAAATTATAAAAAAATGTCAAATGATTCTTCAAATGTTTATACAAATATACCTAATATATATATATATATATATATATATATATATATATATATATATATATATATATATATATATATATATATATATATATATATATATATATATATATATATATATATATATATATATATATATATATATATATATATATATTTATATATGCATATATATATATATATATATATATATATATATATATATATATATATGTGCAAAATATATATATATATATATATATATATATATATATAAATATATATGTGCAAAAATGCACATTCCGTAACGCGCTATACGAAAATATAAATAAATAAAATTCCGTAATAAAGCATTGCGAAAGAAAACTTGCGAAACAAATCATTTCGTAAGAATACTTACGAAATAGTTCCTTACGGAAAAAGCATTCCAGAATGTGAAAAAGATGCAAAAGATTTTATGTTACGATTTATTTAAAATATTAACTGTTAACAGTTTAAAAAATAAATAATAAAATTATAAAAAAATGTCAAATGATTCTTCAAATGTTTATACAAATATACCTAATATATATATATATATATATATATATATATATATATATATATATATATATATATATATATATATATATATATATATATATATATATATATATATATATATATATATATATATATATATATATATTTATATATGCATATATATATATATATATATATATATATATATATATATATATATATATATATATATATATATATATATATATATATATATATATATATATATATATATATATATATATATATATATATATACCTTTTGTTGTATATATAGTATTTTAATAATAGAGATAAGATGGTTAAGAAATAATAGAGATAAAAAGTTTAAGAAATTAGAAAATTTTTTTAGAATCTTTTAAAATTGATTTTCTTTGAGATAAAAAAAAGGAGTATTAAGGAGTTGTAACAAAGTATTCTACCGGCGGGAAGAGCCCCCTTGGCCTCCCACTGGGCTCAAGCTGTATAACATGACTAATTCCTTTCAAACCTTTTTAAGTCTCATTAAATTGAGACTTAAAAAGGTTTTTCCAAAAAAGCCGGTTTTTCCATTTTATTCCAACAACGGCGACTATGGAATTTTATCTTTAAGAAGTAAATAAAAAGACATGACTATAATAATATAATAATAACAATTAAAAACTTGCGTAACCCTTATATGATAAAAGGTTTACGCAATTTTAAAATGAAACAAAAGCTCTATGATACATTTTATGTTTTAAAACATTAAGGAATAAAACTAATTAAATAAGTTATTATAAAAAAGAAAAAATGCATTTCCAAAACAATTACAAACAAAAAGCAACACAGATGTTTTTCAAAAAATTACCGGTATACTTTGTTAATTTTTTGAGCACACTCGGTTATAGAGTAATATAGATCTATAATGTCCTCGGATGAGCTTTAAACAGCCTTAAATACACTTAATATTACCAAGAGTCTAAGTCTCAATGATATTAATGAAAGGGCAAAACACTTGCATAATAGTAAAAATCAGTAATTCATATTGCCACATTTAATAATATTAAATTAATTCCTGCTTAAACAAAAATGGCGACAACTCTGCATCTAAATAAAGGCAAATTTTATCCATACTAACTTGATTTTCAAAGCTACTTGAAGTTATCATATATAATACTCTCGAGTTCCTAGTAAAAGTTCTCCCTCGTTTCCCCACCCCCACCCTCCCGTTTATTAATTTTTGGTGATTTTTCCCAAGCACCCCAATACCATGTTCACACTAGCGATGTTCGGCGTAATATTATTTCGGAACAAGTGTTCCTGGAACAAAATGTTCCACAAAATGTTACTTGTAGCGTTCACATGTAAAATTGGCTTGACGGTACATAAAAGAAAAAACGAGTAAAAAAACGGTAAGTAAAACTCGAATAAAAATTAGTGAAAAACAGTTTGGCAAATACACATTGTTAATATAATTTATTAATTTTTAATATTTATTCATTTATGAGAAGTAAAACTAAATGCATAAAAAAAGCTAAGGGTTCAGCTAGCTCAGAGTTAGACAATAGAAACCCAACCCAAAATATCCGCCATACAAAAGGTGAAGTTGGAATTTTGTTATCCTGTTTCTTGGCTTTTATGGATAGGTCATATCTCCTTTAGTCGCTTTTGACGACACAGAATAGTAGTCCATCAGTGGTATAGTACCGAATAAACATTATACATTAATAAGTTACCCACGACCAGTTAAAACTAATCTCATTTTGTGTTCATACATATTTAATATTTATTTATTTAGACACATTTGATAACCTCAAGGAAAGTAAGTTAAGTTCAAAATTACTAAATACATAACCATATTACAGCTAAAGCTCTAAATAATAATATTATTACTACTTTACTTTCATAAAAGTATTTAGCAATTGAGTCACGAACATTTTTTCCTGGTCCATTGTTCCCAGTTGTAGAAACTGTATTGGGTTGAGCTAGACTGTCATCATGATGATGCATAAGCCATTCTATTATAATAGTGTCGTCATAATATTCACAAATGTTGTGAAGAGTGACGCAAGCATTAACAATTCTTGTAGCAAAGTTAATATCGCATTTCATACGTTTGCAAATTACCCGGAATCGAGCTTTAACGCGCCCAAAAGCATTCTCAACTACTCTTCTAGCTCCGCAAAGTATTTTATTGAATTTCACTAAGCTCCAAATTTTCAGGATAAGGTTTTAACAAATGACGCGTTAAAGGAAATGCTGAATCACCTATGAAACATAGCGGAGCAAGAGAATCGTCCAGCTCTTTACAACATTTATCAAATAGATTTGATTCTAAAATTGCTTTCAAAGAAGAATTCTGCAAAATATAGCTGTCATTATTTCTACCAGGCGATCCAACACTTGTATAAATGAAACGGTATCGATAGTCTACAATGGCAAAAAGTACAATGGAATACCACCTTTTATAATTATAATAAGAAATTGCTTGATCTTTAGGGACTGAAATAGGGATGTGGCATCCATCAACAGCTCCAACGCATTGTGGAAAACCAAGAATAGCTTTGAAATCTCTACTATGTTTAATTAAATTTTCCACTGACAATGGAAATTTAACATATTTAAAGAGCAAAATGTCATTAACAGCATTAATAAATTCATGAACAATTAAATTTACTATTGACTTTCCTATGCCAAAAAGGCTAGACACAACACGATACTCTTCACATGAAGCTAAATAATGTAATGCAACTGCAACACGTTTTACTACTGAAATAGGTTCTGGCATAGTTGTGGTAGTTTTGCCTAAATGTGGATGCAATCCATTAACTAGGAAATTAAATGTGTTACGATTTACTCGAAAATGCTCTTTAAATTCACATTCCTCCATTTGAGTAAAAATCTCATTAAACCATTGAGAACTTTTCTTTAAATAAGATTCCCTTGTTGATTTAACTTAAAGGAAGCTAAATCTAAATATGAAAATGGGTGGGTGATTGATTCATCATTGATTAATGTTCTACTTCTTGATCGAAGTACGGCCAAAACGCTTTCCATGTTTTTCCAATAGCTTTTTCCTTTACAGATGTCTCCCTAAAAAGCTATTAAAACTATATAAATATATTAAATAAGTATAATACTTATTATACTACAATTCAAGGGAAATTAAAATACATTTTTAAAAACCATTTTGTTAGAATTGATACAGCATGATCTGTTAACAAAAACAAAAATGAAACATGTAATGCAATTTGTATAAACTAAAAACAAAACACGTTGGCAAAAAACATATCACTATAATTTATCTACAGGCTTGCTTCATATCGCAAAAAAAAACTATTTGGTAAAAATACTAAATATATATAGCATAGAGATGCAAAAAAAGGTATTTATAAAATAACATGACAAATTTAAAAAATACCACCAGATATGCATTTTAATGCTTGAAATCACAAAATATTTTTATTTTACTTTTTTTTTTTTTTTTCAACATCTTCGCTTCCAACAAGGCTCCAAGTAACCACTAATTAGTGTTGGAAGTTACTGGAAGAGAAAAGACGAAGATTGTAGGGCAAGATAACGATTGACAGACGACTTAAAAGATTGCAAATTATATGAATCAGGAAAGCAAGATGAAGGAAGCGAATTCCAAAGAACTGTTGTTTAAGGAAAAAAACTAGACGAATAAGAGTTTTTGGAGCACTTAGGAACAGTAACAGAAAAAAGATGAGAATTAATTCAATGACAAGTAACACGAGAATGAATTTTTGTAGATGGCACAAGAGACGTTAGCTCTTTAGAGCAGTGCCCATTATAGTATTTGTAGAAAAGAGAAAGAGAAGCAACATTACGACGATGTGACAGAGGTTGAAGGTTGGCTGCAAGAGTAGGTCCAACTATGTTTACAATGCATTTTTGCACCTTGTCTAAAAGAGAAAGGGCATCATTAGAAGATCCACCACAGATATGGCAACAGTATTCCATACAAGGCCGGATTTGATATTTATAGAGATAGAGAATAGAATCTAGAGTAAGAAAGTAACGAGCTCGATAAAGAGAAGCGACTTTAGCAGATGCTAATTTTGCAACAGATTTTATATAAGGTTTTCAAGAAAGATCAGAAGAGTTAATCCTAGAAGATGAAGGGTAGGAGACTCATCGAGTACATTACCGTTCATAAATATAGGAAGGTCTAAATTATTGCGATAACGATTGGCTGAAAAAAAAATAAAGTAAAAATTCCTTTAATAATAGTAATATGGTAACATGAAAAAATATATATAAATAGAGCTTCATCTACAAGCTTGTACAATATTTCACTAACCATCTCTTTAGTTAAAACATTGAAAAACCTTATGAAATATATATTGCATAGAATTGTAAACAAGGTAAACTGTTGAAAAAATACTGACCTTTCAACTTTAACATAATTACTAAAAAGATATCTTGACTAATGAAACACCTTATTTTTTTATTAAAAATTTATAATATTCTACTTGGGCTTTAGACACATCTACTTGGGCTTTAGATGCATTTTCAATTGCATCGCAAATACGTTCTAAAGCAACAACCTCTCTGATTCGTAGCTCTTGTGAACGGATTTGAACATCTAGATTTTTATTTGCTATTTTTATAATCTTTTCTTTCACTTGATATGAACTCTTCCTCAAGTAACTTTGTTGTCCTTCAACCACTCGCAACTTTTCTTTTTAGTAAAAGTTAGTCACTAAATTGCTTGCGGGTTTATTTATTTAAAAAAAATTTTTTTTACTAATAAATTTTTTTCAGATCGGCAAGATCGCTTGTAGGTTTGTATTTTAGTTTTTTAATTTTTTTAATAATTTTTTTTAGTTTTATATTTCATATGAAAAATTTGTTAAGACTAAAAAGTAGAAAATAAAAAATATAGCAAAAAAATTTGCTAAAAACTATAATCTTTTTTGAACTAAAAAGTAAAAAATAAACTTTTTGATTAAAATTTAATAGTTCAGTAAACTAAAGATTGACAGGTCTGCACAAGATTTATTTAGAAACATACCTGTCAATCTTTAGTTTACTGAACTATTAAATTTTAATCAAAAAGTTTATTTTTTACTTTTTAGTTCAAAAAAGATTATAGTTTTTAGCAAATTTTTTTGCTATATTTTTTTTAAATATTCAGAAAAAAAATTTGTTTTTTTATTTCTTCTCACCGGTTCAGTTTTTGCTATTTTATTCAAAGTTTTTTCATCATCAGAGTTCCTTTGTTTATTGCAGCCAGATGTAGATTGAGTTGGTTCCTCATCAGGAATAGTGACAATTGATTGCACATCACTTGTATCATCCAAAGCTTCAATATTTAAAATACTGACAGTCTCTTTGCCATCTTCCATTGTGGCAATCTGTAAATAAAATATACACATTAAAAAAATTACACATTTGAGAAATGATTATAAATCATGTTTCAATCAAAATTTATCTCTTGACTTTGATAGACTTGACTTAAAGTCATTTTACTCCCTTCCTTCCCTAAACAAAAAGGATCTATTTAGACAATAGAATTTTACAAATTGATCTAGCCAATATTAAAAGATCCCTTTTATAATTCAAAAACTTTATATTATATGTTTTTGATCTTTATGCTTTAAGTCTCCCAAATGTTGCAAAACTAAGAACCTCTTAAACCTTATTTTGTAGAAATAGTTAACATGCTTGTTTATATTACTTTAAAAAATATATAGCACTTTAAAATATACAACAATATATAATACTAAACTTACCTGACCATCTTGAAAATCTTGAGTAGAAAAGGTCATTGTCAAGGGAAGCTTCACCACCTATTATTTTGGCAACAATATCATAAGGCCACTATTTACTAGGAGCTCCTTCCGATGAACCAACTTGAAGTTTTTCTCGTCTATGAAAAATATACATAAATATAAGTAAATATAAGCACATCATTAACACCATATAACATTAATCAAATAACTTTAAATGGACAAATTATTATTAACGAAATAATTATTAACAAAATTAAAGAATTATTAACGAATAATAAAATAACGAATTATTAACAAAATAATTATCAACGAGCTGTAAATCTTTAATACTAAATAAGATTTAAGTAATTTTTATTATAACACTCAGTTACAAACTTAATTGCAATTAGATATTATTACACATGGTTAGTTTTGTAAAATACCTTCAGTATTTCAGTAAGGTATCAAACATTAAATGTAGAATATGTACATACCTAAATTGCTTCCTCAAATTACTAATTTTAGATTGAATTTGATATCTAGTTAACGGAGGTATGATATTAAATGTGTTTGAAAATTCAGCTGCCATTTGTTTGTAAATATTTGTGTTTCTTCTTGCAGATGTTTATGCTTTGTAATTATCTTTCCATAAATCTAATAATACTCTTGTGTTAGCCATATTCCATAAAAATTTATTTAAAGGAGATGTGCAAAGATCAATATTTGCTGTGCTTGCGTCATTATACTCTTTTTCTGAATGCTGAGACATTGTGTAAAATTAAAGTTTTATCTACTAAAAAGGATAAGTACATTGAATCTTGCAACAATAACAACAACAACAAAAAGAAGAGAAATAGTTAATAATAAAATTAAAGGTTAAACTTCACAATTGCTATAAATGTTATGGGCTTAAAATAATTTAATAATTTATGGGCTTACTAAATAATTTAATAAATTGCCAAAAACTGGTAGCCGAGAGAACAGAAACTTTCAGATGCTAATTTTACTTTTTTTTACTTTACCATGCAATGTGATAATTATGTTATTTAATAACATTGATCTTTCAACACTATGGTTTATTTTTATTTTTAAATGTCAACAATTGTAGTACATTGTGACAAAGATATTAGGTACAGTCATATCAATACAGTCAATCAATAATATATATTCTGAATAAAGGCCTTACTTTCACAATTATTCACAAACAGTAAATTAACTAATATTAAGTAAATACAGAATATTTATGAGGAAAATACTAATGGTAATGTTCACAAATTAAAATAACAAGATAAGACAAAGCTAATATAATAAAATATATATGACATATAAATAAAATATATGACAAAGCTCATATATAACAATATATACCAATAATAATATCATTAATAATATTAATATAAATAATAATAACAATGATGATAATAATGATAATAATATTAAAAATTGTTATTGTTGTTATTGTTATTACTATTATTATTCTATTATTATAATTATTATAATAATAATTATTATTATTTTTATTATTATTATTATCACTGTTGGCAAGGCCAATGATAAACAACTCTGCTTATTAGTTCAAAGTTGAATTTTATAAATAAAATTACTGTGAGTTCATTAAAAATGCATTAATAGCAATGCTTGCAATGAATATAATTAAATAAAAACTATTAAACAATGAAAATTAAACTTTTTTAACGCAAGTTAAATGTTACCTTGAATTATACTTCTTGTTAATTCAAATTAAAACTGATCTTAATAAGAATAATACTGTCTTTGTAATGTTATATTTAAAGATTAAGTTTTTAAACACACATATATAACTTCTTTTTAAATTAATAATACACTAATAATTAAATTTCTATTCTATTTATACAAATTTTAAATATCGTTAAAAATAACTTGAAATTTGTGATGGTCAAATAATTGTTTTTAAATAATTGCCCACCACCTGGTCTACTCGTGATTGATCCCACACGAGTGGGATCGGAATTTCCTTGGTTGCATGAAATTACCACAAGTTTTTACTCAATGAATAAAGATATGAAATTATATTCGAAGAAATATTTTGAATTCAATAAAAAAGATGGAAGGTAAAAACTAAAAGTTTCAAGGCAACATGTTGAAAGGCAAATAGTATATCGATAATCTTGTCTTGATATATGACCAAGACCTAGGACAATGCAGAGATCAAGGACTAAAAACTCTAGTTAAGATGACAACAACTTTGTAAAAAAAAAATAGTTTGAGTTACTTTCACAATAAATTTGCATATTGCAATGCATTTTTATTGAATCATTTAGCTTATATGCATACGCTTATTTTAAAAATAGTTAAAAATAGGCACCATTTTTTATACAAAACCAAATAAATGTTTCGGAATATTTATTTGTTCTGGGTTGGCGGAACGGTACAAAAGTTCCTCAAATGTTTTTCTTTGAATTTTTGTTCCATTTGCGTTCACACGAGAATATATTTGTTCATGTTCCATGTTCCACGGAATGTTCCATCAAATGTACCCTCGTGTGAACAGCCTATAAGCTTATTAAGATATCCCCCTCCCCCCCCGTTTATTAATTTTTACCTGTTATCAACAAAAATATTATATATCTCAAAAGTAAAAAAAAAAATTCAGTGAAAATCGGCCTAAAAAATTTGAAAATAATTTTCAGTCACCAATAAAAACAAAAACTTTCAGTGTAAACAGGTTTTACAAATTGTCGACCTATTAAATCTCGATTTGCTAAAAATGAACTTTTAGTTTATTTCTCAACAAAGCTTTGGTTTTAATTATAGGATTTAATATGCTGAATATAAGTTTTATACTTAACAAAGTATAAAACTTATATCAGCATATTAAATTCTATTAAAATTATGATAAAAAAGTAAAACAGACTAACCCTACCCTAACAGCTGTTAGAAAATCCTGTTTTTGACCGCAAGTCAAATGGACATGCATAACATGACTTGAACATACATAATTTGCATGCCGAATAAACGGAGGGGGTAGGGGTGGGGTAAGGGGGGTGCGGGGTGGGAGAGGGTGGTGATGGGCGAGGGAGTGGCATTAAACATGCCCCCCTCCCCCCGTTTATTGAACCCCTCTCTTATCTCCCCCCCCTCGTTTATTAACCCCCTCCCCCGTTTATTACATTTTGACTAAAATTCCCACCCACCCGTTTATTACCATCCCCCATTGTAGTCGGCACTCGAGAGTAGATTTCATAACTACTTTGAGATAAGAAACCTTTTATATAACAAACAGTTTGATTTTCACAAAAACCTCTCAACGAATCATACAATGATTGCTTTAGTCAATAAAACTTTGAATAGTTTCAAAAATAATGATTATACACTTTGAGTTGAAAATAATGATTATATTCTAATGATTATACGCCTTGTTTATTTAATTAAAGCATTTGATAAAGTAGACCACGAGATCTTTCTGCACCAGCTAGACATAAAGTAAAAACAACTAAAATGAATCAAGGAAAGAAAAAAAAAATAAAAGGAAACAAGGTGTATCGTACGACTTAATACATATATTTCAAACAAAACGCACTATTTAAAGTTTTAAAACTCTAAAGGTTTCACTTAAAATGGAACTGCGACCATAGAAATTCTTTAGTCATGATTCTTTTTTAAACTTCAATAAGAAAATAAAAACCTCTAAATTTTTTAAAAACAGCAGTCAAGAAGTATTTATTTGACATTAGTGACGCCCACATATTCTACTTTTTTTAAACATTAAATTATTAACAATTATTAAACAAAAAATAATTTATCCTATTCGGCACCAAAATGAATACAAATAGTTATTATATTATAACGAAAATATTATAAATAATTATTTGTTTATTATTATATTTAATTTATTATGTACTTGTTTATGAAATCATAAAGTATATGACCTTTATGTTTTTTTATTTTAATATTGTTAAATTTTCTTTTTTTATCTCTCGTCAAAACTTAAATTGAAAATTTGAAACAACAAAAATGTTTATGAAAGAAGGTTAATGATAAAAAGTATAGTACCTGCTCAGTCTATTATTTTAAAATTTTTTAAATAATATTAATACATATAAATATGTACATAAAAATATATTTAATTTTTGCCAGCTCAGAAAAAAAAATCATCAAAGTACGATAGTATGATCAATTTGTTTAATCAAATTTTTTTTAATTTTGTTAATTTGGAATTAATTCCACTATTTGAATATTTCCAATCATATGGCTGTGCTTCACTATGCACTAAACACGTTGCACAAGTTATTTTAAAGTGATTCACGTTGCATGAGTCTAGGATACTCCAGTATACGGATGGCTAACAAAATTTTTTGTATTCAGTCGTGAACATCAACAATACTCTTTAAAATTTTTTATTTGAGTTCTTGTAATTCCAAATACTTTCATACAAGTTCTTTTTTATAATGCCGCCATTTTTATAATGGCGCCATGTTGGCTTTACAAACGCCGCATTTGTAAAGCCAACATGTCAACGGCGATCATATTTGTAAAGCCAACATTTTTTATGGTTGTCAACGGCGATCATATTTGTAAAGCCAACATTTTTTATGGTTGTCAACGGCGATCATATTTGTAAAGCCAACATTTTTTATGGTTGTCAACGGCGATATTTGCTATTTGCAAAATCCACCGTTAATATCTTGCACAATTTTACAAATATAGCAATATAAAGCTTAAATCTAGATTACATTACTAAATTCAACATTGTTTGTGATTAACTTTTGTGAAGAAAATTTTTTCAACTACTTATTTTTTTCACTCAAAGTAAATACAGTATCATAGCTTTTCATTTGATTTGCTGTTTTTAATTTGATTCACTACTTTTAATTTGGTTGCACAACTATTTTGGATTTCTAGAGATTATTTTTTAAAAAAAAACAATTTTGGACAGACAAAATTTTCTCTATAACTGCTTTTTGAATTTTTATTGAGTAAAATGCGTATAGTACCCTGTGAATCAATTATATAAGGCCATAAAGGATTTATTTAGTTTAAAAATAATATAAAAGGTTTCATTAAAAAAGAATTAAGTTTAAAAATAATTTAAAAGGCTTCATTAAGAAAATTCAATGAATTAAAGTTGCATTCGTAAAAGGAAGCTAATTAAAATATAATTAACCCCCCCCCCCCATATAAAACACTATAAATCTGGTTATTGTATACAAACTAAATAACTTGGTATTTTAAAATAAATACCAAGTTGAATAAGTATAAAGTTTATTATATAAAATAAAATCAGCAAATCAAAAAATTAAAAGCAAATAAATCAATAAAGTGTCGAATCAAAATAGATAATACAAATATAAAAAAGCTCTTCTAAAATTATAAGAGGTAAAAAATGTTGATGATATTATAATCACTGAAATTGCTGATGTTATAATTAATGAAACTGCTGATGTTATAACCAATAAAATTGCTGATGTTATAACTAATGAAATTGCTGATGTTATAATCAATGAAAACCAAAGTAATAAATGCATGTTAATTTGTTAAATGTTAATTTTCAGAATTGCAATGCAATCGACAAAAAAATGTTTAGGAGACCCCGTAAACTACACTGACGCCGATAGTCAAGTAGGTACCCTTGCTACAGAACTGTACTTGTCTGCATTTACACTATAAAAATCTTTTGTGTTATTTAAAATTATTTATTATTTGATTTCAAATCTTATCAAATATTGTATTGTTGTTACAAAGTTTAAGATAAGAATAAATACGACAATTTTCTCATAAAAGTCACCTGGTTGTGTCTTAGTTTATTGAAATCGAACTTACTTGAGAAAATCTAATCAAGATTTCCATAAAACATTTCAACTTCAATTCAAGTGATAATTGGTCAAAACCAGTAACCACGGACAGAGTAAGAGCGTTCAAATATAAAATAAAAAGTGTGAAAGAAAAGAAATAAACATATAGAAAAGTAGAATAAAAAAGCTCAAAAGGAAGATTAGCATAAGATTAACACGGCAAATTATTACAGCAATAAAAAAAGTTTGTTTGTTAGAACGCTTGTAATTTGCAGAATGCAAATTACAAGCGTTCTATATTTTACAACGCTTGTAGAATAAATTATTTAAAAATATTTCAAACATTTTTTATGTTTAACTTCTAACCATAGAAGGTCGTTTAAGTCAAAATCAAATCTATAATTAAAAGAATTAACTTCGCTTTGTTCAAAATAAATGTAATTAGTCCGAATAGTTTTATTTTTTAGGGCTATTTGCTCGAAACATTAAACAATAATACAAAGTTATTTTGGTATTGTTACGATTTACAAACAAAGCGTTTTTCAACACCAACCAAACAATAATTGTTAAGCTAACTAACAAAAACTGCAGTTAGCCTGATTTTTTTTTTTAAATCAATAACTGTATATAGTTAAAAATACCTTAACTGAATCAAAACTATGGTTCACATTATTGCATAATAACTAACTCAAAAATGCGGTTAACCCAACGGTATACGATGTTTTCGGTACATCGGTACATCGTGCCAAATACTTTAATTTTTATTTAAAAGTAAATTGGTTTCAAACTTTTTTTTTAATTGCATAAACCAATTTTGTTTTAAGACTTTTCGAAAACTAGTTTTTATAGTTTATGATTTTAAATTTGTAATAATGCTTTGCGTTATTGAGACGTATATAGTAATCGAATTTATGAGATTTAAAGTTCGGTCAAACTAGATGTTCTCATTTAAGATAAAATATCGAATGCTAGTTTTTATTTGTAATTACATTATTTTTACAATATAAGTTAACAATATAATTTTCTGTATAAATTAGGAAAATAAAAATTAAAAATCGTTTATTTATGTCTGTATGATGAATGTTCAAATCTTAAGTAATCGAATTTACGACCGAACCTAGACGCGAACAAAAAGTTACGTTTGCAAATTTCAAACTTTTTGTGGTGAATATTTATAAATTATTTTATTTTTGATTATTAATTTTATATTAAATTAGTATTATATGAAATTATTATTATTTTATTAAATTATTATTATATAAAATTATTATATGAAACTATTATATGAATATTATTATATTTAATTATTTAGTTTTCCTATTTGTAATTATTATTTTTATATGTAACTATTAACTATTACTATTTGTAATTAAAATTTGTTTAATATTAGTTAATCAAAGACGTTTAAATTATAACATATTTACATATGACGTCCTTGTGTCAATATTATCATGAAAAAAGAAATGCATTTTTCATATATTTAATAAATACCAGAAAATGATTTAATTACAGCATTAAAAATTTCTTTTCTGCAAAATAGGTAACACAGTGTGCACAATTTTGGTATTCAAAAAACTTAAAATTTAAAAGTTTTGTTTATGTAAGCATATATCACACATTGCAATACAATACCAATCTTTTTTCTCATTAACTTTTATGAATATGCAAAGTTTCTTTTTAAAATCTTAGTCTCTTTTGCACTTCATGATTTAATGTTGTCATGGTTTGATGATCATTGTTTAATATCAATCTATACTTATAATGTATAAGTAATATATAAATAATCCTTATATAAACTTGTTTATAAGTTTATAAAAAATATAAATAACATCAATAAGATCATTTGTGACACCTGACCACATATACAGAAACATTATTTTTTAAAGCCTAATCTTTTTATAATGCTTTATAGTTTGTCATTTAATTATTTTAATATAAATATTAATACAACTCATTGATGAGTATATGCAAAGTTTTAAAAGCGTTTGTAAAGAATAATCAAAAAGTGATATAACCGCTATATAATTTTGTGAATGATGTACGAACAGAAATTTGTTTAAGGATCAGCATGAATATAAAGTTTAGTATGTTCATTCTAATAAAAAATAAAGATCTTTCAAAAAAATTAAATGAATTTTGATGGTAATTGTAGTCTGGGAGCAAAGATAATTCAAACATTAAGACCCCAGTCCATTTAATTAAATTGGGGGAAATATGATGGAAAAATTTTAATTAAAAATTGAATAATTTTTCTTCTGCATTTTGGAACTATATCATAAGTTATCGTCAAACTCAAAGTTTAGTTTAAGATATTTAAGTTAACAACAACTAGTAGTTGTAAATCCGTTTTATACATTCATATATATATATATATATATATATATATATATATATATATATATATATGAATGTATAAAACGGGTTTACATTAAACAGATTAAAAACTCTTTAGATTTTATGTTTTAACCCTGCATAATTAAAAGTTTGATTGTTGTTATTGTTTTAACACAATAATAAAAATGTACCAGTAAATTGTAGCAGTAGTATTATTGTGTTATCGTTGTATCTACAATAGAGAGTAGGAGTTTTAGTAGTCTAAAGGTTTGATGGAGTTTAGGACTATGTTTATATAAATTAAAACAAATGAATTGAATTTTTATCTTTTAAGTATCAGGCTTACTTCTTTTAAAATTTTAACAATTATTTTATTTAAAAACTAAACACTTTTTAGATTCATTAAAAGAATACGATTTAAATTCTTTTGTTTGAGGACACCACGCTATAGACACCCGATAGTTGTGGTGATTTGTGATTTTTTTTGAAAAACAAAGAGTTGCATTGTTCATAAAAACATGACTTAAATCTTTATGAATAGTTTAAATCTTTATAAAAAGTTCTTGTTGTATTAACGAACGCAAAGGAAACTGGAAACGTGTGAACCATAGAGCAAGTTATGGTCCTGAGATCCCGGCAGCGTTAATCTGTGACATTAAATCTATACTGATTTAACGTCACCGTTAAACAAGCACAGATTTAACGGTGCTAAAAAAGCATGTCCCTATTGGATATAAGATTAAATTTTATGACGGATGGATTAACTAGCCGTTAAAGTTGATGTGACTGATTGTCTTCTAATCTTTAGATTGAACAGAGGAACGAAGTGCTCCGAGCCCTTTGCTCCTCTGCTTAATCCTTTATTTATTTATGTTGGGTTAATTGAGTGCTATAAGAAGACTTTCTTGTTACAGAACTCAACCGGAAAACCTTTTTTTTAATCACTTATTTGTCATTTAAACACTTTATTATTTCATTTTATAACGCTCCTTTTTTTTATTTAAAAAGCCGTTGCGAATCAAGTATCATTGCCATATATTTAAATACAATGTAAATATTATACAATAATAAATTATAAAAAAATCAGCATCTAATCTAATGCTGAACAATTAACATAATAATTAACTCAAATAGTTAAAAAAATTAAACTTCCTTTAAATTGATGACTAACAGGTAAGAATCCAGCTATTTCGTTTGGAATGGTTAAATAAAGGATTTTTATTCAATCAAAATCTATTAATTTTAAATTGGATTAGTTGGTAATGTAGTTCCAATATCTGAAAATAACTTAGCATGAGGTGTAATATACCACGCATTTTGAAAAGCATTCATCTGGTTAAATCCGGTTTTATCCTTTTTTTGCACAGTTGTCTATAAAAGCCTCTTATTTTAAGGTTTATTTTTGTAAGCATAATTTTCTTCATTTATTAACTTGGCATTTTTATTACATACCTTTATAATATTTATTGGTTAGAGATTTTTATAAAACCTTGCAATTAGCATTTTTATCGCAAAAAATAAAAAGCAGACACAAGTTTACTAACCAACGATGAATTCATGCTTGCTATTATTGCCGATGCTTATGTCCGTATATGGCATCGTTATTCCATGGCATAGAAATGTAACTGAAGGTAAGGTTATTTTTACCCGTTTTAATATTTTATTTAAGTAAGGGAGCAGTAGTAATAGTTTAAAAAGTAGATGGTTGACACTATCAACTGAACAATATTTTTTTAAATTAAAATAAAGGTAAAGTTTATTATTTAAAATAATTCGTTTATATTTAATCTTTACTGACTATTTAGTCCTAAATCCATCTCCGAGTCTTTTGTTCCTATGTTCAATCCTTTATTTATTTACGTTGGGTTAGTTGGATGATATAAAAAGAGGTTCTTGTAACTCAACCGGAACTCAACCGGAAATCATTTAACAAAGAAGATCTCGCGCTCTATATCTCCCAACGTCACTTTTACGATTAGAGACAAGATTTAAATATTTTGATTTTAAGTTCAGCAAACTAACCAAAACTTTAAAAACTAATATACAAAAACTATAATTAGAAATATATTAAAATGGTCTTTAATATATTTCTAATTATAGTTTTTTGAACAAAATAAAAAAAAAACTTCAACAAAAGATTAAAAAAAAAAAAATTTACAATCGATGAAAAAAAAACTTAACAAAAAAAACTACTTGATCTGATCAATGTAGTAAGCGCAAGTTAATCGGTATCGTGTAGTAAACATTAATTAATCGGTATGTTGTAAATAGATACCTAGAGAAATAGCTTCGTATCGTCTGGTATCGCTTTTATACAAATGTCGATATATCACAGTCGGTTCAATACCAAATGATATAGATAATAAAAAGAATCGTAAGGTAAATTAGTGACTTAGTTTTTATTATTATTATTATTATTATTTTGTAGATATTAAAGTGCTTCCATGAATTTTACAATATTTATTCAAGATTACGTTTATTGTTAATGCTTTAAAATTTTTTTACGATATTCATGTTTGTATGTTTTGTCTGTACAGATTACTGTATTGATAATAACTTGTTTTTTTTAACTTTTGCAAGCAATCAATTTTATATAATCAAATATAGTTCGCTTTATTTTTTTTTAATCTTTCTTTAAAAGTTTGATGAACAACTTTTTATGTTGTGTTTGATAGATAAACACCTACATTTTTGTTGAAATTATTCCAGATTAAAGATGTTGTAGGAGGGATAATAAATGATGATTAATTTACTTTAGTTAATGAATCTTAAACACATAATAAATTTATTCACCAGAATACCAGGCAAGAACTACAATACTACGCACGATCTAATTAAAATAACAAGACTTGATGAGAAACAGTATTACGGATACCGTACAGTTAATTGAATTAAAATTGTGGTATTTAAAACATTAAATGATAATTATGATTTCATACCATACAAAACGGTCCTTGTGGATTTCTATTATAATATAATTGTGAACTGTATATTACTCTAATTATATAAATATACTATTTCAAATTAATTGTGGTATATAAAAATAATATATAAATTCTCATGAAAATCGTAGCTGAGAATTTTGAACATCAAATATTATAAATGAAATGAAATTAGCAGCCGCAACGCAGTAGTTAACGCGCTTGCCTTAGAAGTTAGAAATCCGTGATTCAACACCACCTCTCTGCAAGTTTTATAACATCGTAAGGAAAGTGGCATGAACTTCTTTTCAAATGCTTTTCCACGGTGCTCTGTGATAAGACTATAAGAACTTCTTGAGACACCTAATATAAATTTAAAAAAAAATTGATTGCAAGGAAAAAAAAAAAGCAAGAAGACCTGAGTTGCTGTTTACTTCACCTAAAGATAATCAGTTACCATAACCATGTTTTGGAACTCCAACCATCAAGGGTTTCTGTGTTTAGAGTTTACGAAATAGTTATAATAGACCAAGGTCTATTATAACTTCAGGGTTAACAACAACAATAACAAGGTCTATAATAACTTAACTAAGCAGTTATAAGCATTAAAGCTAATATATAAAAAATACCTAATATAATAAAAGCGGGTAGTTAGAAAGAAAGCATCAAGGTTTTTTCACCACCTTACTTGTGTAATCCATCTTAACCCTGGAAAAAATATTAAGTTTTAAAAGATTCCGAAAATCAGCTAAGAATATAGAAACTCTCTCTTGAGCTATTCTTATAAATGTATACTGTACATTTGAAAGCTCTGGATAACAAGCACTTTGCATGTGGAGTGTTTGTAGATTTGGAAAAAGCTTTTGATACTGTAGATCACTCAATACTTCTGACAAAATTTGAGTATTATGGAATCAGAGGCATCCCTCTTAAATGGTTTATTTCTTATCTTAACAATAAAAAACAGTTTGTTTCTATTAATAGGACTAATTTTGTCAAAAAAAAGTGCTCTAATGGTGTCCCTCAAGGTTCAACTTTAGGACCACTTCTCTTTCTTATTTTTATTAATGACTTAAATACTTCTTTTATATTTGCAACTGCTTACCACTTTGCGGACGATACTAACATGCTACTGATGGACAAATCGTTTAAAAAAATCAACTAATATACTAATCATGATCGATCAAATCTTGTTCAATGGCTTCGATCTAATAAACTTTCTCTTAACTGTAATAAAACTGAACTCATCATCTTTAAATCCAGTCTGACACCTATTAAAAAGCACTCAAATTTTAGACTAAGCGGACAGAAAATTTATTCTGTGGGATCTATCAAATATCATGGTATTAAAATTGATTCCAATCTTTCCTTCAAAGACCATCTAAATGACTTGGCAATAAAACTCAGGAGATCTAATGGAATGTTGGCCTAAGTCCGCCATTATGTAAATTTAGAAGTTTTGCTTAATATATAACATGCTATTTTTGGGTCTCGTCTAAGATATGCATGTCAAATATAGGGACAATCCCAGAAACACAATTTCTCAAGGCTACCCCATCTCCAAAATAAATCCTTAAAAATAATATATTTTCAATCAAATAACTTAAATCTAGTTTGCTGTTCTGTATTTCCAATATACTAAAATTAAGTGACCTTGTTATATTCCTTAACTGTCAATTGGTCTGGAATTACCACCACCATAACCTTCCAGTATTGTAAAACAATTTTTATAATAAATGTCTAAACTGTCGATATCCTCTTCGTTCGTTTAATAATTTAAACCTACCTGTTCCAAAACACCATTCTATCAAGTATGGAAGTAATCCATTAAATACCAAAGTATAAGCGCATGGAACAATCTCCCACCTGATTTAAAATCTCTAAACTCAATCTCTGACTTCAAGGTCAAGTTTTTCAATCACTTGTTAATTAAATACAAACAAATATTTCTGCAGTCAAACTCCAAACTCCCTATAATATTTATGAATTAGTAATCCTCTGGCTTTTCATTCTCCTATTCTTAATTCCTTGGTTATTTATTCTGCTTTCCCTTTTATATATTCATTTTTTTCATTTGCTATTTTTATTGTTAGTATATTATCGTTATTATTGACGAGGATTTTCTTGAATCTTTATTTATGGTCATCATCAATTTATTTTCTTTTATTTCTATTTATCTTATTTTTTATTGGTAATATTATCATCATTATTAAAGATTTTTTATTATGATTGAATTTTATGATTATGATTATTATTCTTATCATTATTATCATTATTATCTTATATTATTCTTATCATTATTATTTTGTTTTCAGATGATAGTAATATTAACTTTTTTATTATTTTTATTTTATTTTCTATTTTACTATCATTATTACTTATTGTTGCTATATATATATTGATTTAATGTTTATTGTTGTTTTAAATGTTAGTAGTATTTACACTATTAATATAATACTATTATTACTATTAATATATTTGTAAATGTCTATATTGATATATTGTATTAGGTATTTGCTTTATATTAATACTCGTAATTTGTAAATATCCTTGAAATGTTAAACAACTTGTTTCAGAATATATTTGATTTGATTTGATAATTACAATAGCATGAAACCTAAAGTTGTGAAAATTATGTAGTTTTATTTGTTATTTTTCTACAAACATACATTTGTGCGGACGTGGTGCAAAACTGTTAAATCTTCTTGGGGCACCTAAATAACAATAATCCTAGGACATAAAGTTATTGTTAAACAACGTTTTCTTGACTTTGCGTATAAGAAAGAATAATTTGTTTTCGTCCAATGTGGTTACTTTTGATTTCGCGTATAGTCGCGTGATTCCGACTGGATAAATACAATTATGCTACATACGTTTATACGTTAATTATTATGCAAGCCATCTGGAAGCTGCATAAAATCTATTTCTTTTTTATTTTTTTACTTACGAACTTGCACAGCTACTGGCGCAATAAAACTCTCCTAATGTTCACCCTTTCAGTAATATTATTGGAAATAAGTTGATGGCAACCCTAATTTAAATCGGAAATGGTTTTAAAAAATCAATTAAAAAACTGAAAAATATATTTAAAGTTGTTTTGAGCGTGAGGTTTTTTAGTCAGATCAACTTATTGAATATATATAAATTTTGATGACGGGTCTTCTCATAATGCCACTTTTTTTTAATAATAATTAATATAATAATTGCGAACCAACTAATTTAAATAAAAAAAAAGTTAATAAGCGTTAATAATTTTGATATAAATAATCAATAAATGGCAGTGAATTTTTTCTTGAAAATTAGAACTGTAACTAAAATAAACCCTTACCATTTAGTATTAAGAACAAAGACATTAAAAAAAAATGAAAGTAAAAAGTAACAAATATGTGCATTTTTGTTAACATGATAAAATTCTAAATGCAACAAACATTAAATACATTCAACAATTAGTCACAGACCCGGCCCTTGCTGTGACTTTTTGTTTTATAGAATTAAACCCACGTTTCTGCCATTTACATTGTTTGAAACACAGCCTAATTAGGCTTACCAAACCAGATTTCTTTAATCCAATTAATGAACTTTTGAATTCTTTCTGTTTGCAATTTGCAGTTTTTTAAAAAGGTAAAATTTTAAAATATAGCTATAAGTTTTATGTGAAATTTTAAGTAAAAATAAATTTATACATTCAATAAATTCTTTGTCTACTGTCT